CACAAATATACAAACACACAGTGGTTGGCAGTATATAGGCTAATTAAGAATATATTCCCATATGCTTTAAAAACAGCAGTTTTACAATATGTGCCTTTAATTTTTCAAAGAAAATTAAATCCAACTGCCAGTGATTTTTATGTGATTTTTAAAATTTAAATTGTTAATTTTTGTTTTCATCAATCCTCGTATGTGTACTATTGTATTCTCTCAGGTTATCTGGTGCCTTCATAGAATTGAACACGTGAAACTCTCCATTTAAATTTCTGTGACTCGGGACCGGTGAGCAGTAAGTAAGAAGTCACTCTCCTGACCCTTCCCCGCAGCCGCAGATTCCTGAAGGCAGAGCAGGTGTAATGACCTCGCAGTAGACCAAGGCCCTCAAAGGTGATGTTGGACCTTGAGTTCCAGCACATCTTGGGAGGTCAAGTGGATGCTTGTGAAAGGAACGGTGGCTATGTGACAGTTTCTAACCAGAATGTCTCTGTGTTTGCAGGTGTCCAGTGTGAGGCGCAGCTCACAGAGTCTGGGGGAGACTTGGTACAGCTTAGAGGGGTCCCTGAGGCTCTCCTGTGCATCCTCTTGATTCACGTTCGGTAGCTATGGGATTCACTGGGTTTGCAGGCCTCAGGGAAGGGGCTGGAATGGGCTGCAGTTACATGGTGTGGTGAAACTCATCAATACGATGCAGCCTGTGTTAGGAGTAGACTCACCACCTCCAGAGACAACACCAAGTACATGCTGTGCAAGCAAATGAACAGCCTGAGAACCCAGAACACGGCAGCGTAAAACTGTGCAGGAGACACTGTGATGGGAAGTCCACGTGGGCTCAGAGACAGACCGCCCTGCAGGACATGGGGGGTGGCTTGGCTGCAGGGGGCACTCTACACCCACAGGAGACAGGAGCAGCCCAGGGCAGAGGCAGGTGGAGTTCAAGGGCTGCTTTCCTGTCAGGCCCTGTGGCTGCTTCTGCACCAAATGCGTTCTCCTGGGAGCCTCTCTGTATTTATGGTTCTCTGCCTACCACTGAAGCCTCTGGATTGGAAAAGGTTACTACTAGAAAAAAGATTCTCATATGCCCCTAAGGAATGAATCAGTAATTGAGGGAGAAGATGTCACAGGAGGCCAGGGAGGCTGTGGAAACTGTCAGATGTGGAAGCAGATCTGATGACAAAGACATGAGAAATCAGGGAACTCTGATCAAACTTCCTAATTACGCCATGGTCCACTCTAAGTCTAGTAAAGCCATTGATGCCTCCCTGGGCCAAACCCACCCATCAGGGATCTCTCCTGTGTCCCAGCAGCAGACACGACTTACAATCTCCACTGTGTATAATCACTGTCTGGGAGGAGCTCCCAGGACACGTGTCTTTGCATTAACCGGGTGATGGATGTCAGAGAACAGCAGCTGGATGCCTGGTCTGTGGGTTCCCAGATGTTGGATAAATGGGAGGTGCGTTCTCAGGGGAAACACACTGTTTATGCATTTTTATATAGAAACCATGATTTTTTCTTCTCTCAGATGACCTAGGGGATCAAGAAAACAAGCCTGTAAACAACTGTAATGTCCACATTTCTCCTGAATACATGCATTATTTCTTAATTCTGAGAGGAGATTTGACAGCATTGCCTTTCTCCTAAGAAATTCTTCAACTCCAGCCTGAAACCACATGGTGATCACATTCTTTGGTTTCGTTCAGGTGCAGAGATCTTGAGTCAAGCAAATTTGGTCCTTTCCACACACTAAGCCTCACCTTCCTCAGAGAAGGAGCAGAGATTGATCCAACTGTGTCTGAGATGGGAGTTGCCTCTCCACACCTTGGAGCTTGCAGGGACCCCCAAGTGCAGCTTTATTGAGTCAGGTGTGTCTCCATGTGGGGGACCCTGCTGCCAGTGATTGCTGCTCAGTTCTAAATGTGGGTTCAGAATTAGGACACTTAGGTTATCATGCCTCAAAAATTACCATCATTGTAGATAGAAATAATAATACAAGTCCAATTGTTGTCTGTTGTTTCTTATTACTGTTGGAGTATAAGTTTGAAGAGACAAATTGTTACCATATATTTGCATAAATGTCAGAAGCTCTTGAATTGCTCTTGAATACTTGAAAACTGGATAGAAGCAGATTCTTATTTTTTTTCTATACTAGTGTATTTTGGGATGTCAATATTTTGTCCAGAACCTGTGAGTACCAATAACTGTGTTTCAGAAATGACTGTGAGATTCAGTCATTTCTATCAAGTTGAAAAACCAGTTCACTTTATCTTAGATACATGGATGGAAGCCCAAGGTAGAGGCTTGTCATTGTTTCTATGCCTGCTGCCTTGGGAGTGTCTGTATTTCTTATGCTGTGTCCTGGGTCTATACCCCAATGGCTCCCCTACTCCATGGCACCCGTCTGTGCCTGTGCATGCCCCTGCCCATGCTCTCCATGAAATATCTGCTTTGGCTCAGGAAGAACCCCCCTGCCTTTTTTCCTCCTGCCGCTGGTCCACATTCTCCTCCACCCACAGGCTCTCAGCCGCGCCTCCCATGCACACTGACCCTACATGGGGTCATTCTTTGTTCACCACTTCTCTCTTTTCTTCTGAGCCTTGCCTTTTACTCCAAGAGCCTGCTTCCATCTCAGCTGGACTTGTGTACAGGAAATGCTTTATGAAGCAGGTTTGGGTTGTGCAAACCCTGAACGTTCCTGAAAAAGTGCTTTATCAAGCCAGGCCCATACTCAGCTCCTGGCAGATGATATCTGACTTTCTGGCAAACTCCTCCTGGTAGTGTTATTAAAGCACTTGATTAAGGTAAGGTTCACATCTGTAAAACTACACATGAATTAACATAGTTAACTCATTGAGTTTGGAGTCAGTGTACATCTGCAAAGTTGTCCCCACCATCAAGGTCATAACCATAGCAATTACTTCCAAAACATTCCTCTTATCTCTCTTAATATTATGATGATTTTATTAGTTAAAATGTGTTTTTGTTTGTGTCTGTCTGTGTATCTGTGTGTGTAGCCTGGGTGCACACTATACTAGCTGATTCCATAATGACTTATGGTGAACACCTGTTATTGCTCAAGGGGCCAGCATCTGAGCACTGGAGGTCAGTCGTGCAGGTGCCACACACATCGGTAATGGGCCCCAGCATTCAGGTGAGCTTCCCTGGTGGACAACGCTTCACATGTGGTGTAATGCATCACTGCGGGGGAAAATGGGGACAAGAGACTCCTCAGGGAAAGAACATCTGGGAGTTTGTGCCTGGATTCTCAGGACCTTCTCCCTGGTGCCTTTGCTCATTTTAATTCATATTCATTTGCTATAATAAAGCTGCACCCATGAGAATAACAGCTTGTCTTGAGTCCTTTATTTCTATTGATTATGGGGCCTGAGGATGACCCTGGGACACTCAACACAATTACATCAGAGGTGGAGAATGCTAGAAAGTTCCTGACTTGTGACACATGGCTAGAGGATAAGTTTATAACATCAAAGGATGAGAAAGTGTGGGATAAAAGACATTCAATGCCAGACTGGCTACGGAATCATATGGCATGAGATGGCGTGTGTGCTCCAATTAGGAGCAGGAAGTGAAAGTGATCCATGGAATTTAGAAATGACAGACACAGCTTCCTAAGAGTTGTTCCCTGAATAAGGAAAAGTAAAAATAATGAACAATCCGAATATGCAATTCATATCTGTGATAGCTAAAAATAAAAGTAAAAAGATGCACATCCAGCCCTGCACTGTGCTCTGTGAGCCGAGGCTGCTAGACTCCCATTCACCACCAAAGAGGACAGTTGTCCAGAAACAACACACAACACACAACAGCCACACAGAAGGTAGCCCAGGGGTTGGGCTGGTAGGGAGAATCCACTAGACAACTAGAACAAGGAAGACAGTATGGGAAGTGGCATCATTTTGTGATATGATTGATATCATTAACTGATATCATCGGATTGTGAACAACGTTAGCCAATGGACTGTGAGAATGACTGACATAGCAGTGTCTCTGGCTTCCTGTGCTGCACATGAGAGGAGAATGTTTGGGAGGATGCTGGACCCACAGCTCACAACAGACACATGACAGACGGCTGTCTCTGATCCCAACCTCAAGTAGGATGTTCCTGATGAGACAGCTTTCCTGGTGCACTGGATCCCAGATCCTGTATAGTTTTAGAACCTGTGTAGTTTGTGTTGCTTTGGCTTTTCCTTTGGATCTTTTAGGTGCTAATGAAGTGAGAGTGGTTCACAAGAAAATGGGGCAGACAAAGGGGATAGTTAAGGGCCTCCTCCAAGCAATGTGGATGTCATAAAATAAAAGTTAAAGAATGAAAGAAACAAGAAGGTGCTGGGGTTGACACAAAGGACTTGAAACAGCACTACCAGGAGTTGGGTGCAGCAATGGGGATCCCTTCAGGTCCATCAGCAATTCAGAGACCTAAACAACTATTCCCTATTCATGTTGAATTGGCAGAATGCAGAAATCTAGAAGACAAAATGGCCAGGAAAATTGTGTGATTTTTGCATGGGTGAAGGTCTGGCAAGTTAATCAATTTGAGGACTGTTGAAGGCCTGAGGTGGTCCTGCCCTTGCTTGGTGCCCAGCCCATAGTCCAACTCATGTGAAATTGCCAGGGAAGAGAGAGTAGTTTTCTTGGTAGTTACTGTTATCGGATATACACGTATTTGAATTTTCTCTTCATGGCCTTTCCTGGCTCTATTTCTCATTTTTTAACATATAGTTTCATCTAGATTTGTCACCTTCACAGGGTCACAGAGAAGGGTGGAAGAAGGGAGGCCCTGGGATGGGTCTCGAAGAAACATGGAAAATTGTGGAGAGGGACAACAGCAGGGTGTAAGGAATTATTGAGACCTTATTCTGTCCCTCCCAGGAGGCTCTGGCCAGTCTTTTTCTGCATTTGAGGTTCTGGGTTATAAATCCTGTAGACTCTTCCCTTCAGGGCAGGGTGACAACTATGCAAATCCAAGTGGGGGCCTCCCCACTTAAACCCAGGGCTCCCCTTCACAGTGAGTCTCCCTCACCACCCAGCTGGGGATCTCAGTGCTTCATTTTCTGTCCTTCATTTCTCAGTGCTTCATTTCTGTCCTCCACCACGATGGGGTCAGCTGCCATCCTTGCCCTCCTCCTGGCTGTTCTCCAAGGTCAGTTCTGCCCAGGGGTTGAGGTCACAGAAAAGAATGGGGAGAAAGGAGCCCCAATTCAAATTTTGTATCTCCCCCACAGGAGTCTCTGCCGAGGTGCAGCTGGTGCAGTCTGGAGCAGAGGTGAAAAGGCCCGGGGAGTCTCTGAAGATCTCCTGTAAGACTTCTGGATACAGCTTTACCAGCTACTGGATCAGCTGGGTGCGCCAGATGCCTGGGAAAGGCCTGGAGTGGATGGGGGCGATTGATCCTAGTGATTCTGATACCAGATACAGCCCGTCCTTCCAAGGCCAGGTCACCATCTCAGCTGACAAGTCCATCAGCACCGCCTACCTGCAGTGGAGCAGCCTGAAGGCCTCGGACTCCGCCACGTATTACTGTGCGAGACACACAGTGAGAGAAACCAGCACTGAGCCCATCTAAAACCCTCCACAACGCAGGTGCTGAATGAGCTGCCAGAGACTCCCTCCCCAGGGACCTCTCTATTCATCCGGGGAGGAAACACTGGCTGTCTGTGTCCCCAGGAGCCAGAGCCAGAGAACAACATGGGAGGGTTCCCAGCCCCTAACACAACTGGATAGGGGACTTGAATGTGGGAGGTGGATTCTCTGACGGTGTTCTTGTGTGTTCTACAAGGTTGTTCATGGTGAATATTACATGGTTAACATCAAAAGCCTGCCTAATAGGCACCTCTTCAATATGACAGTCTTTTAATTAGTGAAAGTTTTACACAGTTCATCCTTGCTTGCTTGCTTTCCTGCCACCTATCCACTCTCACTCCTTTTATTTTCTATTTCATTTTCCAAAATCATTTAATCCCTTTTTGAACTATTCATAGATTCTCTTTGGTTGGTTGTTGTTTTCCTTTCAATATGTACTGAATAATTCATCTTTGTGCCAATTCATAAGTATTTTTGTATAATAAAGACTTCTTTCATAAAAATTGGATAAATTAAAATAAATAGATAAATTTTTAAAAACATACCACCCATCAAAACTGAACCATTTAGAAATAAAAAATCTGGGCTGGGCATGGTTGTTCATTCCTGTAATCCCAGCACTTTGAGAGGCCATGGCCGGTGGATCACCTGAGATCAAGGGTTTGACATCAGTCTGGCAAACATGGTGAAACCTCGTCTCCACTAAAAAAAACAAAAATTAGCTGGACATGGTGATGCTTGCCTGTAGTTCCGAATACTCAGGAGCCTGAGACCAGAGAATGGATTGAACTGGGAGGCAGAGGTCGCAGTAAGTTGAAATCAAGTCACTGCACTCCAGACTGGGCAATAGAGTGAGACTCCATCTCGAAAAAAAAAATCTGAACAGACCAATGAGTAAAGAGATTGAGTCAGTGATTTTTCAAACATCTCAAATCAAAGTCAAGAACTTCATGGCTTCACTACTGAATTTTATCAAACATTAAAAAACAACCTAGAATCTCTATTCAAATTTCCAACAAAATAAAGAGGAAAAAATATATCCAAGCTTATTTTGGAAGTCCCTATTTCCAAAGCAAGGAAAAGACACTAAAATAAATAAAACTACAGGCTAATATCCCTGATTATCATAGTTTCAAAAACTCTCAAGGGTGATGACAAGCAAAATTCAACAGCACATTAACAATAGAATTCACCATGGTCAGGTACGGTTTATCTCTAGGATGCAATGAAGTTTCAACCTGCAGAAATAAATGTGATATATCAAATGAAAATATTGAAGGACTAAAACCATATGTACCATATGTCCATGTCAACAGATGTAGAAAAAGCCTCTGTCGAAATCCTCTACACTCTCATTTCAAAAAATCTGAACAACTTATGCATAAAAGATATATACCTCAACATCATAGAGAACACATATCACAAGCCCACATCTAACATTATACTCAGTGATGAAAATTTTATTTTCCTCTAAGACTAGAAACTAGACAAGCCGCTCCCTATCAGCAATATTATTAAACACAGCACTGGGCGATCTAGACAAAATAGGCAAGAAGAAAAAAATAGAAGTCATCCACATAGTAATGAATATGTTTGAAATATATTTTTACATATTATATGCTCTTATTTATAAAAGCCTTCCACCAAAAAAGATTGAAACTAATGAAGAAATTCGATAAAGTTGCAGAATCCAAAACCAAACTCATATTCCAAGATGGCAGGTTAGAGGCACTGCGAGCATCCCTCTTCCACCTGGAAGGACGAACTAACGAGGAGAGATGAACACTGTGGACTGACTTTCAAGAAGCAATGCAGGAACTGAACAGAAACACTGAAATAATCTACAAACTTTCTGAAAAAGCAGGAAGCTGCAGCGTACGCTGTGAGTCAGGTGAAGGGCTGGGAATACCCGGCATTTGAGGGAGAATAGCCAAAAATTTCAGGCAGTGGTCGCAGGTTGAAAGTAGCTCTCAACAGGGGTGTGTAATATAACCTAGGGTAGGGATGAACTACCTTGGCCAGGGCCTGGTCAGGGAAGTTTTAAAAGTGGGCTGCAAGGTCAGGAGCCATGGGTGCAGGAGCTGGTGCCCAACTTTGCAGCAGACAGGAAGGGGCATGGCATGAAACCCACGGCTGCAGTCTCCACGGGGACAGTTATGACTCCTGCTATTTGCAGGTATTGATCACAGGCTGACTGGAACTCATCTCACTGCTGCCAGTGGAGCATCATGGGAGTGGCTCCGCCTCACCAAGGATGTGGAAACTCTGTGGGGGCTACCACCACCTGCCACTCCCCACCCCCTGCCCAAACTTCTATGCAGCAGATGCAGGCGTGCTCTCCTCTGGAACATCACCCCAGTGGCCTGAGAATCATCCCTGTCCCCACACCCACAGCGGCTGCTGCTTGTCCTGCACACAGAGACTCGGAGCAGAAACCCACCTGGCCCAGCCCTCACCTTGCTTTGTGCAGCCACCTGCCCTGGCAGCTTAACACAAAGGATGGCATCTTTTGGAAGCTACATGGCCACACCCACTGCCTGAGAATCCATAGTAGCCCCGTTCCTGGGCAACATAAGGTGTGCAAAAATCCCACCGCTAATAATGCAGCTGGTGCTCTTTTGCAAGCACGACCTCTTAGCTGGAGGCCAACCAACCGTCCATTACAGTATCTCCTGGTAGACTAACAGTGCATCCCGAAAGGAGAAAATGACTGTGCGATCTCAGTTATCACTATGACCTGCACCACTCTGGATGACCAGGAGGTCCTGAGTCTCTCCATGTGACCAGTTCATTACTACCATAACCAGCATTCAAGAAAGCCCGCACAAGAAGGCCATCAATATCCAAGGAATTTCACAGAGTCTCCATCACTCTCCTGCCTGCCACTCCCATCAGACCTGGTTCTGCTGCTCACTGGTGAAAAATGTGAGGACAGTTCACATCCCCGGATCACTTACAGACATTTGCCAACAGCAGCCTGAATTGTGTCAACTTTGCTGGGCAGCTAGAACTAGAGAAGAAACAACACTCACAGTACTATGGATCCCAGGTTCTCCTCCTCTTAGGGGAAGGGAGTGCACCACATCGAGGGAACATCCCATGGGACAAGAGAATCTGGATGGCCGGCCTTGAACACCAGATCCCTCCACTGGTGGGAAACTTCTAGCAGAAGAACAGTTGCAGCGCTGGGCTCAGGTGGGAAAGTCTTCAGTTCTGTCTCAACAGTCAGACAGTCCTATTGCTTATGAAGAATCTTGAAGAAGACAAGTCTTTCCCCCTAGTACACCACTGTAGGCACACTTGGGGCCTCTCCCAGAAGACCTCAGCATGGGGGCAACTGTAGACAGCCTTTCTGGAACACATCATAGTGATTGCATCCCCCAGAAAGAGCACTTTCTAGGTTCAGGCTTGCACGAGACACAGAGTCACAATTCCTCTCTGTTTGGCACATCAACATTTGTACAGATGAAAAAACATGCCTGTCTTATCTGAATCGCTGGAATACTGGGACAGCAGAGTGTCTGAGAGGTGGACAAATTTCCTACTGACCTGACAAGAGAGCTGAGGTGGCTCCAAATCTTCCCCCTGATAAGACCTCAGTGTGACTCACTAAAAACTCTTCCAGCCAACTCTGTAAAGGCTGGGACTTAATTTTCCCACATGCTTTAGCCACAACTGGTTTCTACCCAGGGACAAGTCCCCCACTGATCTGAAGCCTGAACCATCAAACAAGTAAATAAATCACTGCGGGAAAATAAAATAAATATGTGCATGCCACAGAGGAATGAGACATGGATTAAGAGACCTTTCCCATTCTAACCCCATAGAAGATAGTGAACTTGCTCACACACTAAGCAGATTTCTACTACAACCAACACATAGGAAAGCCATCATGCAAAGACTCTGTATAACCATGGAATTCTGACAGAGTCTTCACCCCTCTAAGCACTGGAAACCAAATCAGATTCTAATTAAATATAAGCATTGAAGTCTAATTCTTACAGGAAAAAACACATTTAAAAACAAACACAAGAAACAGTCAAATCAAAGATAAATTCAATAACAATTTGGTAGAAAACCTACCAAAATGAGAGAAAATGAGAAAAATAACTCGGATAATATGAGCAAACAGGGTGCTATGACAGTGCAAAAAGATCACACTACCTCTCCAGCAATAACCCTTAACCAAAATGTAGTCTTTAAAATACTAGAAAAGAAAATCTGAATGTTGATTAATAAGCTACTCAAGAAGATAACAGAAAAAAGGTGAAAATCATCATAAATTTATAAAATAGTTCAGAATATAAATACATTTTTATAGAGAGATATCTATCCTAAAGAGAAACCAATCAGAACTTTTGAAAATTAAAAAAAAATGCAGGGAATTGGAAAGGGAATTACAAACTGCCATGGAACGTTTGGAAAATAGACTAGAAAAAAGTAGAAGAAACAACAATAGACTAGAAACAGTACAAAATAAAAGTAGAAGTAAAATATTCAAGGGAAAAAAGGAAACAGTAGAAGAAAAAAAGAATCCAAAAGTCGGAAGACTAGACTATTTTTGAAATAACCCAATCAGACAAAAATAAATTTAAAAAGAGTCAAAAGAAGTGAACAAAGTGTCCAGGAAATATGGGATTATGTAAAATGAATAATTGGTGTTCCTGAACAAGAAAAAAAATAATAAGTTTGGAAAACTTCTTTAAAGGAATAATTGAAAACTACTTCTCTGGCCTGACTAAAGACCTAGATATCCAAATCCAAAAAGTTCAAGGAACTCCCGGGAAATTCATTGCAAAAATACCTTCACCAAGCATACAGTCATCAGGCTACCTAAAGTCTACATGAAGGAAATAATTCTAAGAGCAGTAAAACAAAACAAAACAAAGAAACCCATCAGATTAATGGAAGACTTCTAAGCAGAAACTTCACAAGCCAGACAGATTAAAGTTCCATCTATAAACTCCTTAAACAAAACCACTTTCAACCAAGAATTTTTTTATCCCGACAAACTGTTTCATAAACAAAAAATAAAGTCATTCTCAGAAAAACAAATGCTGAGGGAATTCATCACTACCAAACCAGCACTACAAGAAATGCTAAAAGAAGTTCTAAAACTTGAAACAAAAGGCCAATATGGACAAAAATGGAACCTTTTAAAAATTTAAAAACTCACAAGGTCTATAAAACAATAACACAATATCAAAGAATAAACAAAACTAGGTAACAACATGACAAAGAGAATAGTAACTCATATCTAAATATTCACATTGAATGTAAATGGTAAAACAAAGCAATGGCATAATAGATAAAAAATCACAATGTAAAATCTGATGTCTTCAAGAGACTCACCTAACACACAAAGATTTATGTAAACTCAAGACAAAAGCATGTAAAAAGGAATTTCACAAAAATAGAAACCAAGAGGGAGCAGGACTGGCTATTCTGGTATCAGACAAAATGGAATTCAAAGCAAAAACAATTAAAAAAGACATAGATGATCACTATACAATG